CATCACAACATTTCTCAACCGCAGATCATAATCAACATAACGTTTGCGTCTTCTCGTTCGAACGTTTTGGCCTGCATTTCGTTGTTCGACTAATAATTCGGTTAAATCTTGCTCTGCCTTTAAACATTCTATGAATTTACCTAACTGAGCATGATTCGCGGTAACTCGCTCATTAAATGACCTGTGCCATCCTTCTACAACGTTATTTGTTCTCGGTACTTCGTTAACAACTGCATCGTAGCTATTCCACATTTCAATATCAAACAGAGCCTTCCAGCGTTTATTACGACGAGGTAGACCAACCCAGGTATGTTCGTAATAATCAACAACTTCGCGCAGGTCATCCCGATTGTCAGTGAAATATTCAGAATTTTTAAGTACTTCGAACGCTTTAGTTACATCAGGAATAGGTACATACGCAATAGCAATCAACATTTTTATGGCAGACGCAAATTCGCTATCGCTACCATACCGATTTTGCAAACCAGCAGACTGTACATGCCGATAAACGCATTGAGCGAAATGAAAATGACACCCTTTGATTGTGGTATCAGGAAAACTCGCTTCGAAAGCGGAAATAAATGATTGCTCATAGTCTATCATCAACACATCAGGTTTAAGCCGGGGTTCAAGTTCCTTCAGCACTGTCAACACCGAAATGTACAAACGTTTTTGTTTCCCGGGAGCTAAAATATAAACTAATGGAAAGACCTTGCCATCATGAAATCCATGTATTGTGTACAATTGAGCAAAACATGCCGGCACACTTTTGAATGTTCCGTCTGCAAACCAAGCGTCACATGAAGACAGGCACTCCAAATTTTTTGCTGTAGTAAAAATTAGCGTTCGTTTTTTCCCGCCGCTGTCATACATCAAAAAACTTTCTCCTTTATTTGTTACTTTAAAATGTTCCGGTATTTCAAGATCTTCTACATTGCTTGGGGTCGGTAATTGAGGATTTGCGCGTGTCCTCGTCCGTTGTACCGTTCGATGCAGGGACGAAACACTCGGTAATTCAGCAGCAGCCGCTTCGGTTATGTTTGAAATTCCAGCGGACACAATCGCACTTGTGCTCTCTGAGGACTTTTTGGCTCGTTTCTTAATTTTTGCTATAGCCAGTCGCGACTCAACAAATCCAGCATTTGGACCATGATTGTGATCGGTCATTTTCAGAACTGTTCCTGAAAATAAAACTATTACACACGGAACAGTAACGAGAAGCGAATCCACCTACCATTCCGTGTCATCGAAGATGTGTATACTCGACCGCGACAACTCTCCGTATACTTAATGCATCGCCAGACAACAGCATCAGTATTTTCGCGATGCACACCATAAATAAAACCATGAAGCACTAATTGTCGCTTCCCCTTCTGACTACTGACAAATTTCAAAGGCATCCCAGCAAACACCAAATATAAGTGGTATATAACGTAGGAGTAACAGATAATAAATATAACAGGTGTTAGACTGTAGTAGCATAACAGTTATATAACTTATTGTATTATTATAATATAACTAGGTTATAAAACACATTAATATAACTGCAATATTGCGTGTTATATAACAACTGTTGCGTTGATATTATATTAATGCTGTATAACATAATTTCAATTACCGCCGGAATTATATAACCTCGATAGCATGTGCCATAGTGGCGCGTGCAAGTTCGCGATCTCTTTCCGCTTCCGCTAGTGCCATCATGCCACGATCGCGATATACATTAGAAGACCGACCGTCCGTGGAAGATCGTGAACCGCGTTCGCGGGTGTCTCGTGCGCGCGACGCGACGGCCCGTCGCTCGTGAAAAGATGCGACGCCGGCGAGAGACGGTCGAGGACGTCGCTTTGATTCGCCCTCGTATGAAAAATAACCTACTTGAAGGTATGTATATACACGTTAGAAGCTAGGTTAGAATACGTTGTGCATATTATACTATAATATAGGTCTCTTTCCGCAGTTCCGCAGTTCGTGCCACGATCGCGACGTGATCGCGACGATATACATTTAGAAGACCGCACCCGTCCGTGGGAGATCGTGTACCACGTTCGCGGGTGTCTCGTGCGTCCGACGGCCTGTCGGTCGTAAAAGGATGCGACGCCGGCGAGAGACGGTCGAGGACGTTGCTTTGATTCGCCCTCGTACGAGAAATAACCTACTTGAAGGTATGTGATATATGTTAGAAGGTTAGAACACGTTATGCACATTATTGCACATAAAATTTGGTGATACCGACAATATTGTCCCTTTCCTCAGACGCTATAATAAGCGAAAACACTTTGGAGTCTCACAAGTCGCTGAATAAACGTGGAAAATCGAACAAGTATGACGACGCCGCAAATCTAGACGCCGCCGAGTCGGATAGCACGATACTGAATCCGAGGCAAGCATCAGTAGACTCCTTATTGGATTCCGGCATAGGCGACAGTTGTAACAGCATCGATAGCACAGAAGAAAAGTTTGATATAGCCGAATTAAAGAATAGAAGATTGGAGAGACACTGCTGGTAACCAAAGATTCGGGAGAGCCTCGCTTCTAGACTACCAGGTACAAATCTACTATTTTGCGTACGACAAATTAATACTTTGGCATTTTTGTAAATGATACAAGTGCTAATACGGGGTTGCGATTGTTTTTACAGAAAATTCCTACTATCAATTGGCAGGTACATTTTCCCAGGCGCGGAGGTTTATTCCAAATCTGAGCCGTACGATCAATGTTCCCTCTCGGCAAACTCCGAGCGCACAGATAGCGACAGCGATTCCTCTTCCGGAGAAGAAGAAGAAGACGAAGAGGAAGAGACATGTAAGTCTCGAGTTTATTATTGAGTTAACTTAATTCTTAAATTTATATGTTGGCGATTTTGTGATCAATATATCTTATTTTATTTAATTATTTTATGTTTTTCTATGTTACGTTCTTCAGGCGCGGACGATGATTTATCAGAGGACGCAAACATCGATGTTAACAGTCAGAACAACGAGAGCAAATTGTTCACTTAAATTGTTCACCATTTTCACTATCTACACGAGGATTATAAGAAAACAATCGAGATTGCTTTTAGCTTACCGCACTTATCCGTAATTATTTCTTCTCCACCACAAATAATCTATTTAATCTACTTCGTATGTGTAATATACATAATGGAATTTGCAATAATATTTCTAATAAAATTATTAAATATTTATATTTGTCCTTTTCCTACGCAAAAACATGTATGTCTTTTGCACATACTAATTCCAGAAAAGGTTTTTAAATTAATTTCAAGCAAAAGCAAATAAAACAGTTTGTTTTCGCTTAGAATTAATTTAACGATCTTTTCTGGAATTAGTATGTACAAAAGGCAAATTATAAATTAATTAATATACAGTAAAAGGTACAATAACAGTTACACTGCAGTTATATTACAATAATGCTCTAAATTATATTACTGCTATATAAATGTTATATATTTATATTATATAACTGCAATACACACGAGTGGGAAATTACCACTAACGTGTACATAACCTGATACAATCGTGTTATATTGCGTGTTACATTTCCTTATATCAAGATAATATAACAGTAATATACCCGTGTTTGCTGGGATCGCACACCTGACCGCACACTTCTAACAGATGTAACTGACTGCATGACAACCGTTTCGATAATAACATCCAGACATATGTTTACCAGTACACGTTCCTTATTATTGTTTATAACCGAATGACGGGATAAGGATATCGAGGCGTTCGGCGCTCTACCTAAGGTACGGCGCGCACAATAGTTGTTGTGCACATGTTCAATTTTGAATATATTCCTGCACCTTAGGGATATTTTGTCGTGAGATATTTTGCCAGGGAATATTTTGTCATGGGATATTTTGCCAGGGGATATTTTGCCATGGGATATATTGTCGCGGGATGTTCTGTCGCTGGGATAATAAGACCGGGATATTTTGTCGCGGAATGTTATGTCCGGGATATTTAGACGTGACACCAAGATATGAACACAGCTATAAGTTTTACATACCCATATATAGAGCATATATAATCATATATGAAGTCATACAAGATTATATATGATCAGATCAGATATTGCATCTCAAAAAGTATTCGATAGATGGCATTCGATGGGATCTGCTTATCGTATTTAAAATTTGACAAACAGTGTTATAAGAACAGTATCAAAAGACACGACACTGTCTCGCACTATAGAGCGGCACAATTTTTGTATTAGTTGTATCGTGGAGTCTACTTTTATAATAAAGTGACACACTCTTAAAAAATAACTTTTGAAAATATCCCGAGAAAAAATATTCATATATGATCATATATGAATGGCCAGATATGGTCAGATATGGAAATTGGCCAGATCTGAGGATATATGATCTGGTATTATTGTATATGTTAATATCTAATCATAACTGATCAGATATCCTCAGATCTGGCCAATTTCCATATCCGACCATATATGGCCATTCATATATGATCATATATGATCAGATATGAATATTTTTTCTCGGGCTAGGAGTTCGAGCGTCGACGCGCGTGCACAGAGAAACGATATTTAGTGCAATAAGAGATTCAGAACGAGTGTCTCTCAGGAACAGTTTGACGAGTTCACGAAGGAATTTACGCTTAACGAACAGACGGAAATTAACCGTGCTGGGATAGACAGTCGACGTGTCACCTCTGTGCAACAGAGGGACAAGGATATTTCTGTAGGACGACACGGGCCATCCGGTCGGGAGGACGAGATGGACGTGGATGTGGATAAGGTAGATAATAGTGTGAAATATTGTTGAAAGACTCGCGACCTATAATTACCCGGTATAGCGAGGGAATGTCAGGAAATAGGACAATTGAATGGGTACGTCGGTGCATAAAGCCAGGCTTTGCGTGTAAGAGGGAATTTCCGTATATTTCGGATATTGCGTACAATATTAACAGCGCGGACTAATGACGCGGCGGATACTGACTGAGATTCGAGAGACAAAAAAGATGCCAGATCGTGCACGCATCCTGTGCGCGTAGGGATACATCTTTCTCTACGCCCGGCGCACGCTATTCACCAGCGACCAATGATCGACGAGGAACCGTGCCACGCCACGGCAATATGATACGCATGCTTATACCGGGTGCTCTGCGCCGGTTAACGGCCTCGCACTAACAAATTCCTTACACTAGGAAGCGTGACACGGAGGACCGTGAATTTTTTGTACACAAAACGGCCCGCTGACGAATTGCTTAACGACGAGCGACAAGAATAATCAAGACGACCGTGTTATTGAAGTGAGCGATCACATGAATACATGCGGTGAGCCGCGTGAGACCACCGTGGGATTGTTGCCGTCGGCTTTAGATAAGGAGATATATGTTGTACGTGACCACAAGCTATGTAAATGTAGGGATAATCCAGAGATTCAGCGATTTACGAGATTCGATGATAAACATTCAGGTAAAGCCAAAATTAGCATTAAACTCGTACCTGAACATTCCACGACTCGCAAGGGCATGAATAAAATTAAAATTTGGATGTCCTTGTCAGATTTACAAATCTGACAAGTCCGATCTCTGTGGAAATGCTTAATTATTTTACAGCGGAAGCAGAATTCGAAAAAGCGGTTGATGCTAATTGTGTGCTTGATTTGATTGATAGCATGCATGTTCCTAAGATTAAGGTTTATGTAGAGCAACGATCTATTGTTTGTAAAGGAGTCGTTTTAGACTGGCCGGCTGAGATTCCGGAGCTTTGGAATGCGATGCAGGACAAGGCGGATGTTATTAAAATTGAAACGATGTACCGCAAAAAGTGGGACGCGGCTACGCAAAAATCGTCTCTGGTGGCCTCGAGTAATATTATTATAACCTTCAAGCTGGACAAAGTCAAGGATCTTAAAATTTTCCACAACGAAGTTAATCTAAGAGTAAGATCATTTATTCCACAGACTAGGCAATGCTTTAATTGCTTCAAGTTTGGGCATACTAAAATTGCATGCAAAAGCGAGACGCGCTACATTGTATGTGGTGAAAAAGCGCATGGTCAATGTGAGAAATCAATCTGCTGCTTCAACTGTGGTGGACAGCATAAATCCACATACCGTGGCTGTCCCGTGCATGAAAAAAATAAGAACATCAATATCATTATGGCCTTTAACGGTGTTTCTTTCCATAGTGCGAGACGGATCGCCGAGGGGAAAATTCTAATTTTAGCAAAACCCTTGGACAGCAGGATTGATCCCGTGAGTTGGCCTGCTCTGCCGCTCCGAAAACCAGCAGCCCCTGATGCATCGAATACTCGTGAGAGATTGGAGCATGGTCCTCGCTTCAGCGAACGAGGCGATTCCCCTAGACCAAGTACGAAGGAACGGTCTGCCTCTGGTGGGATTGGCAAGTATTATGGCCAGTTTAATACACGTGAAGAAGAAATAGCGGAGGATAGGAGGGGTTTGGCCCTGGCCGCGACTCGTCGGGCTGTCTGGTCCCAGGTGGTGCGGCGCAAACCGGATAGGAATAACGAAGACCGGGAACATGGCGCTGTGGAGGAGATTATTGAGAGCATTATGTTGTTAATGAGGAGATTTCCCTCAGCGAGGGATGGCCTGATCGAGGCTTTGACGAATAAGGGGCAATATCACGCCCCTCCCCCTCCAAGCGGCGATACTTTTGTAGGAATAAGGAAGAAATCAAGAGAATTTAACAATACATGCGGAATGGGAAAAGATTCCCTCCCCTCCACTGCATAATTCAACCTCCTACTATGGAATTGTCGAGGGTACCAAAGCTGCAAGGAGGAGTTAACGAGGCATGCCACGGAATATGATATCGTTGTGCTGACGGAGACTAGATGCAAAAACCCACTTAGGGTCTCCTTTTCCAATTTCAAGTCTGTGA